AGAAGAAGAGAAGCTACCAGCCAGGCCTTAGATGAGAAGATGGGGCATAGACAGAAATGTTCCCAGGGATCACAGCAGAGCAAGCAGAATTTCTGTGACTTTTGAGTTACAGCAGTGACCAAAACCAGTCACAACAGGAGGACCCACCTGCAAGAACATGACAGACCGGCAGAGGATTTTTTTTTTTTTTTAAATTTTATTCTATGTAGTTGTTTGATTGCTTGTACAAAGTACCACCAAAAATGTAATGACCAAAGTATATTCCAGGCAGAAATTGATATTTAATGATATGTGCAGCTGGGAACTTCTATCAAAAGCTTTATTTTGAACCATGCAATCCATCTCCTGGTGGAGGCAGCAAATGGAGGCACACAAATTCATGTAGTTCCCTCCATAAAGAAGAAGCAAATGATGAGGGAGAAGTCACTGAATGCTCCTTCCTCCTAATCCATGCTTCAAAAATGCCGAAGAGAATGCAAAAACCTCTTCAAATAGAATGGCCAAATAAGAGAGGCAAACTTTTTATACTGGTTTGTATCCCAATCTCAAGCTACACATTGTTAGCATGTAGAAAGTAAGGCAACACCTTCAACATCTCAGAACAAGGCACAGACAAGTTAATGAAAACACAATGTCTCTTTTAATAACTTTCATTGACCTAATCCCCTGTGTTCAGAAAATATGTAACTGTGGGCTTGCCAAAGTGAATGTGAAGATCAAACTGATAAAACACAAGATAATGAGTCAATTGATGTGCAGATTCATTCATTTGAAAAACAAATAAACCTTAAGAGTAATTACATCTGCTCATGATTAATGGCAGCTGCTCAATGGATTCTTCTCGATATGAACAGCATGTAAGGGCATATACACTCTCATTGGAGTACAGATTTTTCCAGTATACAAATGTGAAAAAGATTTCTGGAAACTAATGAGTGCACAACTGTGACTGAAAGCTCCAGTCATGCTATTGCTATTCCACTGTACTAAAAACAACTGGATTCTCCATCTATGAACATCACACAGGCTTTGAAACCCAGCATCAATCATGTTAACTGATTCTCTCAAGATAAAAACAAAAGCTGAAGTCTAACATCTGCTTTCCCTGGCAAACCAATCTGAAAGTTTATGCATTTGGGAGAGTTTTTTAATCATCATAAATAACCCACAACCAGATGAATTAAAGGTGCTGCCTTGCTTTCTGGACAAATCTTTATAGGGTCCCTGTAAGTTTTCTTCACTTGGAAGCACTCAAAGAAAGGGTTTAAAGAATTAGAGGAATTAAAATGTCCATGTGCAGATGCAGTCTGTGGTCTTGCTGGGATCACAGAGGCAATACAATACAATACAATAGCTGACATGTCTGGGGCAATGCAGTGGAGGGATACAGGTTCTTTAGGAAGGACAGGTAGGGCAGATGAGAAGATGAAGGTTGACCTCTCCATGGCAGAACAACTGCAATGCATGGAGCTTGGCCTGGGGATGGATGATGAGCCAGCTGGGACCTTACAGCTAAGAACTGAAGCATGGGTGACACTGCAGGGAGTGTCTGCTACAGGCTGCCAAACCAGGCAGAACAAGTGGACAAGGGCTTCTACAGGAAACAGCCTTGTGTCACCAGGCCCTGCCCCTCTGGGGGGCTTCAACCACCCTGGCAGCTGCTGGGTGACCAACACAGCACCGTGTAAGCAGCCCAGAGGCCTCCAAGAGGGCACTTGATGACAACTCCCCAATAAAAGCAGCAGAGGAAACAGGGAGAGGAGCTCTGCTGGAACTCAATCACACCCAAGGAATAACTGACTGAGGATGTGAAGGTAAAAGGCAGCCTCACCTAGCTCATTCTGAATGTCTCAATTTTTTAGAAAGATGGAATATATACTGCAGAAATTCCAAAGAGGCAGAAGGTCAAAAGAGCATTTGATCCTCTGATAAGGAAACCTCACAAACTTCCCAAATATTTGCAAGTTCCTTGGCAACTGCCGAAAGTCAGAAAGATTCACAAACATAAAGGCTTTCCTAGTCAAATTTTGATACTCTTCCAGAAGTCCCCACATAAATCTCTGGATGAGGTCTTCCTTTAAGCTGATCAGCTAAAAAGCCTAGACCTTAAAACTAAGCAAACCAGAAATGTTTCATTATTCAAGAAAGCTAGTACAGAATCTCTGCATTTTCTTGTGAATTCAAAACTTGATTTCCTTCCCCCAGCCCATGCCAATTTGGATTATGGAGAAGACCAGAAACTGTACTCATAAAGGAAACACTGAGCATAGAAAATATTTTTTGGTTGCTTTATTCAGGTCAGTGCATTTGCTTATCATGCAGAACTGCTTCTTGAAGAATATCACCAGTTCCCCAAGTGTTACAGAACAGAAGCACCCCTCTTACATAATTCTTGAAAATAATTATTCTGTAAGACCTGTAAAGCATAACATTTTATCCTCTTGGACATTCATATGCCTATGCAAATTGAGACACTTTTAAAACACTATGGAAAAAAAGACATGTTGTCACATCATGCAGAGATCTGAAGTTAAACACAACACGTTTACATCAACCATCAAAAAGCACTTCTTGGCAATCTCAGCATTTTGAAAACTAAGGCATGACTGGACAAGCACTACATGCTGAACTGTTTCTGAATGATCTTTCTATAAATTACATAACTCTGAAACATAACTGAACTATATCTTCATGATTTACTACCTCTGGCACTGCCACCTAGTTCTGAATAATTCCAGCCTCCCTTTTCAGAACTTAACAGTATATGAACATTGAAATAAAAAACTCAAGCAATGAACTTAGTAGCTCCTCATGTGACTGAACACATCAAATTACTGAATTCCATTTTCATATGACATTGACCTTGTATTGCTAGAAAAAAATTATATTTTATTGAGTATTGTACAGACTTGCTCTTTTTAGTAGAGATTTTTGTTTTGGTTTTATATCAAGTAGGATGATAAATCTTTCACTGTGTCATGGAAAAGCAGTGCAAACCGTTTTGAACACTGCCAGATCACCACCTCTTCAAGTAAGCCTTCCAAGAAACAGTGCTTTAACCAATAATCCCCATAACATAGTTTTCCACATTTTAATAAGCCTTATCACCAGATTTGCAAGTCCCAATTAACACTGATAAAAAGAAAACTGAAATCAGGTATCCAGCAACCCCTAAAAAGTTACAATACTTTTCTCTTTGTACTACCTACCAGAAGTGCAAGCTAACTACAGGTTAAACTACCTGGCACTGGTAATTTGGAGCTACAGCAAACACCTCTGCTTTGCCTCCATTTTTGCACATCTTTACCACCCGAAAGTGTTTCTTCTGAATGTTTTCTTATTTTAAACTAGCAACCAATAGTTTGCCATACATGTCAGCCATACACTATATTAAATTAAGCATTAAATAAAAATTTGGAGTATCCTTGATTCATAAGTGATAACAGCAAAGCCCAAGACAAATGTGAGAAGCCAAACCACTGAACTGTTATGTAAGACTGACATTTTTTGGAAAAATATCATTCTCTGACAGCATGGTCTCTCATTGTGAAGTACAAATTGAAGTAGTAGCTCCTAGTAGCTGCTCAAAACAGATGAAAAATCATGTTAAAGCCCTGGGATATCTCCCACCTAACAGGCGTGGAAAGTTTCCTACACCTATGCATAAGATCATATTAGCAATATTGAATTTAAAAACTAGATCATCCTTTGGGCTCTTTCATATCCACCCACTATTATTATTATTTTTATTATCTTTTTTCCCAGGTAACAGAAAAGAAGGCAATTAACTCTATACCCTACTGCCAGTCCACACCCTCATGAGTAGAGTTATAATCATTTTGGATTGGGAAAGCATTTCATTCTCACTGTTGGAACAACCCTCTCTTCCTAACACTTGAGGAGCTGTGACACAGCAGGGCTGCACAGCTGATTTGAAGATGGCAATGTCCCCCTTGCCACACAGACACAGCAGCTCACAGGTCCAACCCCTTGCATCTATCAGGTTCATCGACTGCTTTTCAGAGCAGGTGACCATCCCATACCCTGCAAAACCCTTTACTGTTACCAACCATCATTCAAATCCAGATTCAACTGCCTGAAACCATTTATAGGCAAAGTTGACATTAACAGCCCTAGAGGGACTTCACTAATTTCCTAGATTTCCTGGAAGTCTTGATTTTAAAGGAAAATAATATGCTAGAAAAGATGCAATTAAACACTAGATCAAAACAACCACACACACCCCAGCACACAGCTTACAGTGGGAACATGTCCCTAGAAAGCTTGCCAACTAAGACAGACCAACAGAGCCAATTGTGTACAATATAGCTTTGTTGGAGGGTCGCTTGTGAAAAACAGGCAATAAAAATCAGTAACTTATTACCATGATACTTAAAAATGAAACACAGTAAACTGACTGCCATAAACCAGGGGAATGATATATGGAGAATGAAGAAATTTCTGATGTCTTCTGGAAACATTCTGGAGAATTTAACAGTATAAAGCTTACCACAACTTGTACAGCACACTGATAGGTGCGGCAGGAAAAGCAAATGAAGTCATAAATAATTATATGGGTCAGTAGCAAGTCTGAATAGATATAAACAATGCTATTGGTGCACGGAGTTCAGCTTTGCCTCAGATTTGCTCAGTCATTTTGGGCAAGTCACACAGATCTCTCTGTAAATACATTCAGATGGGGATATTTGCTCTTAAAGCACTTTAATCTCTGGAGATGAAACATTATACGAAATGCAAATGTTATTACGTACTGCTTACTGCCTTCAAATGACAGCTGAAATGTGCATTCCACATTTATCATCTGACAGAATAAACTCATAAGCAGTCTTCATGTATGTTTTGACAACATGTGAATGTTAAGCACAACTCATGGTATGTCATCTGGCTGTCAAGTATGACCAAAAACTTTTTTAAAAACCCCTACAGTAAAACCAAAATTTAAGAAGCAAATCAATGCAAAACAAGCCTCCCAAGCTTACTTGCAGTAGGGTTCCATGAACGCTGTTGTGCCGCATGCCGCGAGCGGCAGAGTCCGGGAGCCCCCGGAGCAGGGCCAGCACCGTGTGCGGAACTTCATTGGCCAGGACAGAGGGAACCAGGGCCCGGCCCGACATCTCCCGGCAGCGGTACACGGGCGAGTGCCCACACCTGGGAAAACCAGAGACCTGTTATGGGCCATCCAGCAAGCCTAAAACAGGACAAAGGATAGTGCCATGAAAACGAAAGCATATTTCTCACAAATCCCATATACAGTCTTCTCAGTAGTGAAAGGTAAGTCACACTAGAGCTATGCCAGAGGGCTTGTTGTCATTCACAAGTTCTGGCGTTTACATAAAGGAAAATAAAAAGGAAATAATGCAATTATGCCATTAAACAGGTAAGTATATAGTCCTGTAGCATCTTTCTGGATGTTTATGTTACTTACTAATCACATGTATCATGAGTTTGAGTAAAACTGTCAGCTACATGTTGTTAATCAGATGTTTCCATGAGAACACAAGATGGTGTCTACTGAATTTTGGGCCAAATGTCCCACTGGTTTTTAGAATACATTTAAAGGCAGGAAATAAAAGACACATTGGAAAATAATTTCCCATTATTCATAATTAGTAGCGAAAAGAAAAATACTTCGTATTTAAAACTGACTGCTGAGATGCAAGACTCTATATAAAGCAAATGCCAAAAAGAATCCTTTATCTTTTAGTGCTATTAAGATTTTGATGACTAGCTGTAGATTTATGAAAATACATGGAGAATGAGCTAACATTAACACATTAACCAGTCATATACTACCTTAGTAGCATGTTTACTGAATTGACATGATTAGGAGTCCTTCATCAGCTAAGCAGGTTAGGCTAAGTCTTTCAAAGCCAGCAATTCTTGCATGTGTCAATTTTGATAATGCAGGTACAATTGAGCCACCCAGAAAAGTGAGAAAACTACTAAAGGGTTTAGGGTATAGAAAACTACCATAAAAGGCCAAATGTCTTAGGTGATGGAAAATGCAGTATGGCTGCAGTTATGCTCTGCTACCTCCCAGATGATCGTGATGACTCAAAAGATGGCCTTCCCTATTCCAATACTCTCATCCCTTTCCTCAATTGCTTCCTATGTCTTTCCATTTTACATAATCCCATGTAAATGAGATTATCCCCTGACAAAATGATTTTGACCTCTGCTTAAAAAAAAAAACAAAAAACTCTGCAGTGTCACACCTACATATTTAAAAACTAAAAGAAATTAAAAGGTATTCTGAATTTTCAAGTAGCTGTATCAGATTTAAATAAATAGTCAAAGTAGTAGTTTACTTTTGTTCAAATGAAAGAAACATAGAGAAAAGATTCCATCTTGAACTAGACACCAAATTAACAGGGTTTTGAAGACTAAGAAACTAAACAGTCTTAACTGAAATAGGTCCATTATGCCATGGCATGCCTGGAGGACACAGATCTTCAGAGGATCTAGAGCGAGGAACTACCCAAAGGTTTCTGAGGCAATTTTTAGCCTTGCAAATAAGATTGTATGTTCTATTATGATTTTTACTAAGACCATCTTTACATTTCCTTTTCACAGACTGGCCCTCCTTCACAATAGGATGCTAAAGGAGAACAATCACAATTAGAAGCTCTGCCATAGGGAAAAGCTTCTATCCTATATTAACCAGGTGCAAGAAGAAATTCTGTTTGGCTATTCCTAAAAGAACTTCCTTTTTTAATAACAAAAACATTTTAATTCTACTTCATAGTAAACTGAAACCTAAGAAATCATTGTCTGAAACCATTCATTCAGCTCTGCCGAACCACATTTTCTTAATTTTGTTTATGACCTTTTACAGAACCCAAGGAATCTGACATGTTTTCACAGGAGGAGTGGAAAATTGGTAAAATTCCAAGGTTTCCTCTAACTTGTGCAAGGGTTACTTTCCAATACTACATGTTTCAAGAGGGTCTTTTTCCCTAAAACACAATGCAAAGAATTACTACATATTTTTAAATAACCTGTCTAACTTTTTTGTCTTCTAAAACATCAAATACTTATAACACATGCATCAACATAAAAGGAGATACAGTATTTTACATGCCAGATTTTGTTCCACTCTATTATTTTATCAAATTTATTGTGAACATAGAAGTGGCTGCTTTATATTTAGAAAGAAAATAGGGTCACATTACAGGCAAAATTTTCTCAGCTGCCTGAAGTCCTCCTGCAGAGCAACCACACAGGTGTCCAGTCATGGAGAACTCCCCCAGGATACTGTGGGCCCAGCTCTGCAACCTTCTGTGCCAGAGGGAAATGCAATCCCACAGCTCCTACCTGCCCAAAGGGCAACCCAGACACCAGCCTGCCACTATCCTATACAGCTGCTGTACATTCATGCACACTTCTCACACTCCAGGGTGCAGGGACTCACACCTTAGTGGGAACCCTCAGAACAGCAGGCCTATGAAATCCATACTAAGGAACAAAAGCATCACAAAAGTTTAGGAATCATAAAGTATCTGGTTTATAGGAACATATATGGGAACACATGGAAGGTATTTCACATCAACAAATAGCTTCCCAAATCTGAGAGGGGTTAAGGTTCCTACTGTTTCTTCTAATTTATTTAAAATATTTATTTGTTTTTAAATCTAACACTCAAAGAAAATAAATTGTTTCCAATCCCCACCCACCAGCAAGAAACAGCACAGATAATATTTGAAAAATACTCCTTTCACATGCTTATGCCAGATGTCATACCAAGTTACCACTAGTGACCTATCCCTGAACTTCTGCATACCCTGAAGGCACTTAAGTGTACATCTCTCATGTTTTGAAGGCACTTGGCTTCATTCCTGAATCATGCAAGAAGTTTGCCAGGAGAATGTCAAAACCTACACTAGTTTTTCCATCCTCTAGCAGCACCCTAGAACAGAGAATTTTGATATTTACTGGATCCCACTTACATTCAACCTATCATCTGTAAATAAAACTAAACAGGATCAATCCTCAAAAAGGGATAGAAAATAGAAAGACTGAATGCAAATAAAACAACTGAGCAACAGAAATTAACATTCTAACCAAATCTAGCAATTTTTTGTTCATTGTTATGCCAAGCTCCAAACCATACACTTTAGCACCGAGTCTACTACCTGTATTGTTAAAAATGTGTTCTATCTTGAATTCAGCAACCGTTATGGGAAGCTATCACACAAACCGCATCAAGAAATAATTTTGCACAATTTTGGCAATCACAGCAACTTAGTTTCTATCTGCAGCAAAACCCAGCAGCTCAAGAAAGAAGCATTTTAAGGCTATTAAACTATTTAGGTTACTCCTCCTGCAGCAGTTGAGCACACTGCCATCCCTGAGATGAGTCACATTTCTCTGATGGAAGTTGCCTTGTGGGGATACTGGCAGAAGAGGACTTCCAAACACTGCATTTCAACCAGACTCTGAGCTTCACCTGACAACAGCACAACACAAATCTGCTGCAGGCTCATCCTCTCTGCAGGGAATACCAGCAATGGAGCCTTGCATTCATTTGGACAGCGTGGATGTGTGTGCAAAGCTGCATTTAAAACGGTTCCATCTCCTTTGATTTGAAAGGTGCTTAGGGGGGTGGAGGGGAAGTGTTTCAAGTATGTGACACTACCTTCACATGCAGGTCTGATATAAGTAGACTTTAAAATCTAGGAATTACCTAAAATGTTGTCATATGTAAAAACATACATTATGCCACCCTAATTTTATTATACTTCAAGGCAACAACAAGAATGAAACTTGCAAAATCCTCATGTGACAAACTTCTATTCAATCCTGAGGGCCATTAACAACTGTAGTATTTCACCTTGAACTCAGTACTGTTTATCTAGGTGCACGAGGAACTGGATGTAAACATGTTTACTTGAAACAACCCATGATCACGAACAAAAAGTCCATAAATCCGGGAAGGTTTCGCTCCGTGTAACCGTAGATTCAATTCAATGCATTTCCACTGCTCCGTTCCAGCTTCAACACTCAGATCCTGAACCACCCTCCCAACTGATCTGATTTATGACCAGCTCTCATAAGGCACAAAGATTCCATACTCCTCTGCACACATCAAAGTGTCTAATTTATTACTCTGGCTACAAACAACAGAACACTAGCTGTAAATAATAATATCTTAAGCTTCTTTTGGAAAAAAAAGAAAAAGAAAAAAGAAAAGAAAAAACACACCTGCAGGTGTTTCCTATGCACTTATTTTCCATCCTTTCTTATTTCTCCCCCTCAACAGACTTCATATTAGCCAAATTAACAATGCAAATAAGGATTACCTTTTAGATAAAGGTCACAGAAACAAATTAGTATATTTAATTTGGAAAATTACACCTGTTGCTGAAAATATGTTCATTATATTAAATAATTCCTACAGTTGTGAGAAGGACTAACAAGGAGAGGAATGTCTATTTCCAGGTTTTGCTGGCTGTTGTCACACAATCTGTGCATTATTAACAAAGCCAATGCTAATTAATGAAACAGTGAATGTTCTGAAGAAGGGGCCTCTGATCTTCTAAGTCAACCCAAGTATCCTACCATCATCACAAAGAGTTTGGCAGAAGAATGCAGCATGAGGCAGGAAAGGCTTTGCACTTCAAACCAACCACCTCTGCCTGCAGGTTAAAGCATTTTAACAGCCACCACAGCTTTTAAAAGATAAAAGTGATTGAAAAATATAAATAAACAAAGATCACACACATGGTACACTCTAAATCCTTGAGCAAGTTGTGCCACAAGGTGCTAGCAAATGCACTCTAAGAAAAAATTGTGTTAAGTCTTCTGTCTGATGCTGCATAGACAGGGTAGATAGTATGAGAAGGAGATTTTGCCTTTCCTCCATGATGCAGCTATACAGTCCAAGTTATGTCATCAGTTCCAAAGCAAGAATTAAAACCAAAAAATTAGAGCAGGAGAAAACATGGATGCTGGTCAAAACTCAGAGAGAAAAGTATTTAGCAACAGATTCAGCTCCTATTAAAATCAGTTTGGTTATTAAGATTCAAGAGCATTGCATGCATTCCTCATGATTATATACTAGTTCATTTTTCCCCCTTCAAATTATCTCCTAAAAGAATACCTTTAGCAACTTCAAATGCAGTGTGACAAGTTCCCAAGCTAAGTGAGGT